GAACTAAACTCCTACTGCTGCTGTACTTCTGCTCACACTGGGTATTAGTTTAATCAATAGATAATTTCATCCATTCTTCCCACCTTGTTTTCCTTGTATCTGCTTAAGTCAGCTATGCAGTATTCTTTAAACAGCTTGTCGTAATACTTCCTGGCAAGTTCTTTTTCCCTGGAAAGAAGAAGTCGAAGACAAACTCAATATCTAAAAGCATATTGAATATCAAAACAGCCTTTATAAGACGTTTTTTTATGAATGATCACCATGTCATGTCTTCCTCGTCCTCATCCTTCCAGAGGAAACGATGATTCTCCCGCAGCACATCGTGATCTGTTTTGTCTTTGGCTCTGTGAGAGACATAAAAGATTCAAAGAGAAGGCAGATAAAAGAGAAACGTACTACTTTGGAATTTTTTTATTTAACACTGCCTTTTGGTTGAAAACAATGCACTGTTGCTGTTCACATATTCCTAGCCTAGAGTGACAGCTGGGTGACTGATAGTGAAGCATGACTGTGAGACACATTACTTACGCCGTGCGCTTGAAGTCGGCCATCTGTCCTCCATAATAAAGTATGTAGTCACCAACAAACTTCTTATGTCGCTCAAACTGGAGACATCTGCTTAAGGTCATTCTCTCTTTGAATGCTAACATTTTTATACAATAAGAAGGACAAAGAAAGTGTCTCACATTCCTTCGTTTTAAATAAAGAACAACATGAAAGTAACACATTTAATGTTATCATTTCACACAAAAACTATGAATGATATACTTAAAAAGGATACAGCATTCAATGATATCAGGTGGGCTCTTCTGTTTCTGGCTTCCTCTCTGAAAAACAGAATGAAAATAAGGATCTAAAAGATAAACAAAGATTATATAATGTAGATGACATATTTTGTTAACTTGATCAAAGAGCGGACTATAACTTGTAAATATAACTGTATTAGGAAGCTGGCTAAAAAAATGCAAAGCTGTTGTCTGGAACGACCAAGTATAAAAAAGCCTTTGAGGAGCCTAAAGTGAAACAGAGATCAAAGAGAGAACAATCACAGGGAACTATTATAACACAAGGGAATTCATATCCTTTTATTTTTTTCTACATTTTATTTTACATTTTCAATCACTTCCCTTATCAGGAGTTACATTTAATTTTGGGTAAATTATTCAAAATGAAAAACGTAACTATCACAGACCCTTTGGTATTACATTTGAAATATAGTTTAGGTGCATGCCATATCTCTTGATCATCTTCAAGATATGTCTACACCTTGATGGAGTTCACCTGTGGTAAGTCCATTTGCTCAAACCTGTCTATATAAGGTCTCGCAGCTAACAATGCACATCAGAGCAAAAGGTTATGACATAGAAGGAATGGCCTGCAGAGCTTAGAGAAGAAAGGCTTGTGTTGAGGCACAGATCTGGGGAAAAGAGGTAAAAGATTCCTGCCTCTGAAGAAACCCTGCAACACTCCACCGAGCTGGGCTTCATGGCAGAGTGGACAGACGGTAGCCTCTCTTCAGAGAAAACCTTAGACCGTGAGAAACAAGATTCTCTGGTTTGATGAAACCAAGATTGAACTGCTTAGCCTCAATTCCAAGCGTCATGCCTGGAAGAAACCAGGCACCATTTATAACCTGAGCAATGCCCGTCGAACGGAGAAGCATGGTGGTCACAGCCTTGTGCTTTGGGGGGGGTTTATCACACCAATTCTGGCTTCCCTCCACTGGCTTCCTGTCCATTTTAGAGTTCATTTTAAGATTGTATTGTTTGTTTTTAAATCGCTTAATGGGCTGGCCCCTCAGTACATCTCCGACTTCCTAAAGGTGTACACCCCCTCAAGGGCTTTGAGGTCGGCTGATCAGCTGCTGCTAGTAGTCCCTAAAACCAAGAAAAAGACCAGGGGAGACCGAGCCTTCTCAGCGGTAGCCCCCAGGCTCTGGAACGACATGCCCCCCCCATGTCAAATTGTCGCCCACCCTCCAAACTTTTAAGTCCCGCCTAAAGACCCACCTCTTTTCCCTCGCTTTCGAGTCAGTTTGAGCTATGTTTTATCGATTTTTATGCTTTTATTGTCTGTCCATAGCCTTTGTGTACCTTGTATTAATTCTTATGTGTGCCTTTTATCTTTTCTTATTTATGCCTTTTATCTATTCTTATGTGTGCCTTGTATCTATTATTGTAATATTATATTTTATTATAATGTTATGCTTGCTGTGAAGCACTTTGGTAAACCCTCTGTGTTTAATATGTGCTATAGAAATAAAGTGGATTGGATTGGATTGGATTTATCAGCAGTGTGGAAAAACTAGTGTGTCACACCCAATGTACAGAAATTGTTTTTTTGACTTCTCATTGCAAGGTTTAGAGTGTAGATGGATGGAAAAGTGTGAACAGAGGGGGGGGGGGGGAAGATGATTTTTAGCATAAAGCTGCAACATAATATAATGTGAGTTAAGTGAAGGGGTCTAAATGCTTATTATTTCACTTCAATTTCACAGTACCTGTCCACTTCATGTGTGTGTAAACTCCGGTGAGCCTTCTGGGAGTGCCGAACTTTCTGGAATGGCTTCTGTAAGATTTCATCCTCTCGTTTCCTGACAAAGTAACCAAAAGAAGCTTAAGTTAGTGGATTTTGTTGTCTTTCTTACACCAGACAAAATGCAAGCTAGAAGTAGTAGAATAAACACAGTATATTAGTCTATGTATGACGAATGTTTCCCAGTTAAACACAGTTCAGGCAAGCAACACTTCGATGAATTGAAGTATATATTCCTGACCCTATATAAGGATGTAATCTTACCTTTTAATGCCTCTTTCCGAGGACTCCCCCTGTCCATCATCGTCACTGAAGTCGGAGTCATAGCCGCCCCCTCCGTGCACCTGAGGAAACACAGGAACTCATGTATCCGCTTTAAAATGCCACAAAGAAGAAGAAGATCCGTAAGGTGCCATGTGTTATTTAGTACTTGATGCTTTAGGGTCCTGCTGCCTCTGTAGTCACTTCACACAGGAATCATCATGAGAGGTAAGGTTTGGCACTAGTTATTGCACTCAATTCGCAGCTAAAGCGAAGTACAATCTTGCTATATGCTTAGAGCTGTAACTAGCAAAGTATTTAGTAGAAATGTGCAGGGAACATTAATAGAGTAACCCCTGTGTGCAACTGGCAAACTCATCTGTAGGCTAATGTAGCATGCTAACTGGCTAACAACAAACACGAAACGCTATCTTCTCCAAACATGTTTGCATTAAAAACGGATATTCGGCTTTATAAGATAAGTTACCTTCACAAGACTTTCCATGAGTTTCCTTGCTTTAGTCCACAGGAAATGTTTGCTAATGTTTACAAAATAAAACGTTTGTCGCTATATGATGACGTGGAACAGTGAATCGCAGTGTGATGACGTAAGGTGTAACTTCATACATTATTCTGAAAGGAGATTAAAAATAAGTATCTGCCAGTCTCCGTTTCTTTTTCAATATTAATGCAGGAGTCATTGGGGACACTTTGTGATTTCAGAATGAGATGCAGAAAACGGAATCCCTTTAAATCTCTGGGTAAAATACATTATGGATCTAGGTTACTGTATCGTAGGTCTTTTTGTTTGTTTTCCTAACTGGGATTATTTCACATTTTTCTTTCATGGTAGGCTATAGGATAAATATACATCGTTATTTTAACCAAGTAAAAGGCTCATTGAGATTAAATGTATTTCTTAAGGGCAAACAAGAGGGCAGCATAAACACTGTAAGAACAATACACAGACAAATGTAACAATCACACACTAAAACACATTGGCCCCAATATCTAAATGATAAAGAGCTATTATATATATAGGCACAGTTTTTTTAGGTGCAATCAAATTGACTACGGGTGCTATTTTTTGTATAGATCCTTTGAATCTAATTTATATTCCCCCATAGTAATCACCTCTGGAAATGTCAGGTCCTTCTATGTTATTCCAGCAAGAAGAGGCATCATATCCCATATTGATTTCTTTCATCTGGTTTATATTGACAGTCTATAAATCATCCATCCACCCATTGTTCTTGTATAACTGGAGGGCAAGCCATCATCACATAACATGATGGGTCAATGAATAATCAAGGCCATATTGAACAAAAATAAACCCCAAGACGAATAGGCTACAACGCCTGATATTGACTTTCGTTTTGGAACAAAGGCATCTCGGTGGTTTGTTCATTTCCGCTGAGGGACAAGAAAGGATGCATGTGGGCGTTTGAATTGTAGATGGGAAAATAAAGAGGGTATTATGCTATTAGAATTTTTCTGTGGGCTATAATTGAGTCTTTGGGTTATTACGGGTGACTGGGGTGAAAGTTCACCCCGGTCTGGGAATAGAAGTCCAGTGTTACATGACTTCTCCACAACCCATTGAACGCAACAAAGGATTCAATATGGGTTTGAAGAGAAAGCGATTATGGGAAACCAATGCCATAATGAATATGAATGACTCAACCTTTTTTTTTTTAAGTAGAAATATGTACTCATTGCTGTGGTTTGGATCATGTGTTTTCCATTAAATAAAGCATTATAATAAAATCCTTATGTGTTTTGTCATACTTTACCATCCATTTACTATGCCAGCATCACCCAATTAGCCAAATATTCCAGCTTTATTTTGAACCATACGGTATAAACTCATCATCTTTTCACAGCTCATATCATTATTATGCCAAACAGAGAAGAAAAGATTCAGCATGTGAATGAGTGAGGCAGGTGCATTTGCACAGAGCCTCATGAATAGCCGCTTCCCATTAAACGTGCACGGCTCTGAGGCGCGCATAAATAATAGCTGGCACTGCTGATAAAAAAAAGCGCACCTAGGGCCCCCCCTCCCTTTCTCTCTCCCAGCCTCTTCCATCTCTTCCTTTCTTCCTTTCTCTCGCGGGAATTTAAGCTTTTATTTGTGTTTTCCTTTCATGGCTGCATTGGTGAGACAACTTATTTGTAAGCAGCAGAATTAATAAGAAGTGCAACCTTTAGCAGCGTGTTTTTAAGATGATTTGAGATCATTATCTTTCATGACAAACAAATCTGAGACTGTTCTCATGTCCCGTCTGTCCTGCATTGGTAATCCTGCGCCTTGCAGAACGAATCCGCTGGACTGGTGCCTTCCTATTGAGACGCAAGAAGCATAGACACAAGCCTGCATCCGAGCGCAACAACACCAGATCTTAACATTTCAACCAACACAGAAACATACATTTAAAAAAACAAACTTAGAAAGCACTTTTAAATCCGGGGGTTACGGGGTTTTTTTTGCCGAGAAGTCGCATGAGCTGGAGGGATAGTATCGACCGGGACAGCAGGAATGGGATACCCGGGCAGAGCACAGGGGGGATGGATGCTCCTGGTTTGGGTCGCCGCTGTCAGCCTGCTTTTTGCTGAAGGACGGAGAGTGAGGCCGCCCAGATGCCCGGTTGGATGTACCTGCACCAAAGACAATGCCCTGTGTGAAAATGTCCGATCGGTGCCTCACACGTTCCCATCCGACGTGGTTTCACTGTAAGTGGCCCTGCACTTTAATACTTTCTTTATTGTATTGTTCTTTTGGTGAATTGTCTGGAAATAATCTGTTTTCAGTGGAGGATACACAAGTCTCATCTTTTTAATACTTTTGGATAAATCCCCTTTCCATTCATTTAGATCTTTTGTCAAGTCTGGATTTAATGAAATCGTTGGAGCAAGCTTTGTTCACACTCCTGCTCTGCAACTACTGTGAGTATCCGTCTGTCTTTTTATGTGTCTGTCTGCCTGTCTGTCTGTTAATCCTTTTTCAGTTTTTTACAGAATCAAACAATAGGAGGACTAGCCTAGAGGCTGATAAGAATATTTAAAGGGGAATTCTCTGTAATGGTGTCAGGATTATGCAATAGACCACATGGCTACAGCCAAACACAGCAGGGGCTGGGAAGAGAGGAGCTATGTGTGTGTTTAAATAATGAACATCTTTTTTTTCGCCTCCCAAAATAGCACTTGAAAAAAAATGAAAGACAGTAAAATCATAACAGCACACATAATTATGGAGTTTATCTCGCAATTTCTCTGACAAATGACATAAATTATTATAGATATTTAGAGTCTGTTGGGTCATTTGTTGTTCCAAACCCACAAATGAATTGCAAGGTCAGGCTTAACTGTGCTCTGTAATCACACTGGTTTCAGTTTATTGCACATAACAGCGCACTGTGCATCACTTTTGCTCAGTAAAATATTGTTCTTGGCACCAGTTCTTCCATATGCTCAGATGACACTTAATCAGTCTGGGTTTGCATGGAGGCATGGTGAACAGAAGGAGGGTGAATTTAACTAGGCGGCAGTTCAAGTGGTGTTGTCCCCTCTGTCATTATTTACTGTCAAGGTGACCTGGAGTATCTTAACCTCCATTAGAGCACGTAATCAATCACTGGCAGTAAAGAATAAACAGGAAGAGTTTCACTACAAAATCAGATATCTGGTATTTTGACATCTTCAAATTATTATTCAACCAAACTCTTCCACTGGATTTAAAGTGCTTCAGTTTATCAAATAATAAGATGCAGTGTGGTGCACAATATATATTCTTTTTGGACACTTTATTAGTTCAAAGGGTGACTCGGAAAGACATGGAAAGAGAAATCCATGACCCTCTTTCATTAATTTCATGAAAAACATAGGAGTCATTTCTCTTTTATTCATTTAATTCAATCTTAACCGCATACTGTGGGCAGAAAAGCTGAAAGACTATGTTGTCTCTTACAGTTACTCTGACCTTTCCTCTGTTTTGAACGTTGAGTTACTGATATAAGTAGTAATAAATCACAACCTTTATCCTAACAAATGAGGCACATTGGTTTTTTTGTGTGCCCAGTCAAAGGGAACATTTTCCCATTGTGTTTGGGAATGTAATAAGATTTTTCTGGGAGGGGTTTAATATAAAATAAAACAGATGTAACAATACAGTTAACTGTGGAGCCCAGACTCTTCCTATTAAGCCAAAATAACGGAAGGAGGAAAGAGCGACCTTTTTTACATCCATGTTCGTTATGGGCAAAACAGATGTTAGCATCATAGAAACATTTTAAAAGATCAATTGGGGGTAAATTGCTAAAAGATCTGCTTCACAGTTAAAGTTTGTTGAATCCTAATAAATAAAGATACCCTTTAACAAACTGAATAACCAAATCTTAAAATGTATTCCCAGCTGATAATATATTTTCAAGTTCAACCCAGTCCACCCTTGATTTGTGAATCAGAAAAGTAGATAATGTGGAAACTATAATGAAAGCTATGATTGTACTATTCTAACATTTTGTTGTTTCTTCTTAGTTTGTTCACAGCGAATACACTTGATTTTATTGATGAGGATGCCTTCCTGGGTTTACCACATCTTGAATATCTGTAAGTATTTATATATAATTTATAAGATTGACATTCATTGGTGTGGTGAAGGATTGTAAAATACACACGCTGTTCTCCAGTTGCATACTTTATGTGTTGTGATAATAAAAGCTGACTGGAATACAAAAATAAAAATCAATCACAATGTTACAATCCAATTTGAAACCTTTTTCTGTAATACAGTACAAATGTTTTTATACATATTATTTTGGCGGCATGCTGTCAATTTAAAGCCTCCATACAGTTTTATTTTGCTTATGTTGCCTGATTGGGAGGTTCATTTCCAACGTTTATCCCTATTATTACCTAAAATGTGCTTACCTCATGTAAAGCGCAGCCTAATTGGAAGCACATGTTTGATTGTATAGTGCATTTCTAAAATATAATTCATTCTGTCATTTTCCCCTGAATCTGTATTATTGGTCTGTGCTATGTTTAATGTATAATTATAACAGGGCTCAGGTTTACACAATCCTTCAGTAACTGCTGTGATCACAATTGCAAAGAGATATGAGATGCATTACGTTAAAGGATTTAATTTTGAAGTATAATACATTGGATTTGTGTATGGGATAATTACATAGTGTTAATCCTAATCTGTCGAATGCTAATACAATTCTTCTCATTCACAGATTTATTGAAAATAACAGAATCGCATCGATATCCCCATATGCTTTCCGGGGACTGAAATCGCTGATTCATCTGTAAGTATTTTGCTTCTATGGTTCTTCCATGTTGGAAAACTGGAAAATGTTTCTTTTATAGTTCTTATATCCTGTTTTCCATTTTTCATAGTCTCTGTTTAAGTATTTTCTAAGGTAAGGGGATATGAGTATTCATGGTATCCTTACATAAACTGTGCATCAATGTCCTCTTCCTCTGTGTGTATCACTTTGTCACTGTCTGAAATGCAGAGGTAGGCAGAAGTGCTGCCAGTGGTGGTGTCCAAGGTTAGTGGATGAAGGTGGAAACTGGGTCAGATTACTGAAGGGCAGATCTGGATGTCACACATCCTTAGACAATGGTGGAGGAAGTATTTAACTAAAAGCTAAACTAGACCTTGGCTTCAACTAAAGTAAAAGTAGTAATAATACAGTGTACAATTCCTCTGTGCCAACTGAAATGTAATCAATATCATACTCAAGTAAAAGTTTAGAAGTATGAAAACTAACTCAAAGTACAGAATAGCCCATTTCATAATAAAATATATATTTGTACTTGACTTTAACTATTAATGCATTATTATGTTAAACGGAATTACTTTCAATCACTTTAAATACTGTAGGGTAAACCTATATACTGAAATGTACTGATTGATTTAAATGTTGTATTAATAATACAAATCTGCAACGTTGCTAAAACTGTCCAATACATGTTGTGGAGTAAAAATGACAATATTTCCCTTTTAAGATGTTTTGAGGTAAAAGTATAAAGACATGGAAATACTCAATAAATACATTCCATATATCTGTCTTTACACACATTTTGTTACTTTTAGCATCATATAGCTTCACTAATGAGTCACTTTATATTTGTTAGACTTCTATGGCATCTATTGTGAGTGTGATGAGTTATGCATAGCTTGTACTGTACCTGTGTTTGTAGTATTTAGATAGCACACCTTGTTAATCCAAATCTCACCACGGGGACGACAACATATCAGTTTATAACAGAGTATTTCAAACACTGATCTATATTCCTGAAATGCAAACCTTGCCAAAACTAAAGATAGTTGAGAAAGTGGGTGACCTCTAGGTCAAGACTAAATATAACTGCAGTGTAACCTCACACCAAGTGACCTATAATCTGTCCCTAAACAGACAGTTCGTTCCTAACACATTTGAGCTCATGCAGTGCAATGCAGCAAAATTGAATAACAGTTTATCAGCATTTATTCATGCATTCTTTAGGTGAATGAGGTGAACCATTTAAAACTGCGGATATGAGTTACAACATTAGTGGCTCTGTCAAAGGACAAAGACAAACAGAAGTAAACTGGGATGCATTTTAAGGGGGTTTAAGTGTCTGAGCAGTGACTTCTTCAAAGATGAATATAAAGAGTTTGTCACCTGATATGAAAATTATCAGCCCAATTAAGACAGGAATAAGTTATTTGACACATCCATCCACCCAACACCCCTTTGGGTTCCCTTTCTTTGGGTGCCCTTTAAATACATACATGACCTGACATCCTCCTCTTCCCGGCTTGATTGTGACTGCTAGAGGTTGTCGTCATCTTGTGTTCTTGTCAACTTTTTGAATAGATGATGACCGGTTTTTGAACCTACCAGTAGGTGTAGCAACAAGCCCCGTCTAACCAATATCTGTATGAGACTGATAGCCAGTGATTACGCCCACTTAATTGGCTGATGACATTTGGATGAATTTGTTAACTTTTAAGGTGCTGGTTTGTGTTTTCTATCTACAAATGCCAACTAAGATTTAGTATTTATATCTGTCCATACACAACTCAAAAAAGTGATATTCCGCCACACATGAACTGCTCATTTCCTGTTTCATGCATACATTCCTTTGTTTAAGAGGAGAGTCAACACACTTTTATGTTTAAATTGATGAATAAATGCATTATGAGAGGTCATTTTAAATACTTCACATACCATTAATACATTATTAAATAGTACAGGCTGGAATCTTGTCCACTTTACCCCATCCCCATCTGTTTGGAGAGTGCATTTTTGCACATTTCCAAAGCAAAATGGCTTCTCCCTCTGGAAAACTGACTCTCAGATAAATAATGCAGTGTTGAATCACACTGACATTTCATTTCATTCACATCTCTTTCTGGTTTAGAGTTCAGTTTTTCACTTACAAATGAAATGTCTTTATCAGGTCAGATGGTAGGTTTCTAACTAACTGTTAGAGATATCATCCTCTTGAGAAAGATGGATTTTTTGACAGCTGTTACATTATCAGACCATGTCCTTAAGTATTGTCAGGGCAATGTGACTCTGACTTGTGCCTACCTGACATTTGGATGCTTCTTATTTTGTTTGATTAGTTTAGCCTTTTTCTGCTAAAGGCAATCCAGCTAACAGGAGTAATAAAACGCCTATGACACAGACTCGTGCAATAACTCAGAGACAGTCTACCCCTAACTCAATCACCTTTTATTTTTTGTTGTTTAGGAGTCTGGCTTACAACAACCTTGAGACGCTGCCCAAAGATGTCTTCAAGGGCATGGAAGCTTTGACCAAATTGTGAGTTCAATCTGTCTTTCTCTAAGGAAGCTCAGCTAAGACACAGAAATGTAGCATTTAAAAAAATCAATTTTTTGATTGATATATTTCTTCTATTACAGACATTTTTGTGGATTATTGTGTAAATAAGTCAATATATGAAGTAACAGTTTGCTAATTTGTCATAGCTAATATATTATGCTAATCATTCTGCAACAATCAAATAGGGTAGTGGACCGATACAACTGTTATATTTTTTGTTACGGATAGAAAATATGTTGGCAAATGATGAGAAAAGTCTTATTTTTTCTCTCTTTTCTTGAATTGTGGGGTTGAATACAGTAAGGTTATGAGGTCATAGTTCTAAAAAGGAAAATAGAGGAATGTAAGCTGGGGGGGGGGGCAAGGGCACAGTGAGATGGAAGAGAAGTAAATAAGCAAGGACATAAAAGATTGTAGAGGAAGCTTTTCCCTGCTGTAATGGAAAACATATGAAGGAGAGAAAAAGAAAGCTTGGGATATGATGCCAGAATGTCAGAGTAATATGGTAAACAAGTGAATTACAGAGAAAATAATTGCATCCCTGCTTTTGGCCACAATCAGCTTGGTGTGTGTGTGTGTGTGTGTGTGTGTGTGTGGTGTGTGTGTGTGTGTGTGGTGTGTGTGTGTGTGTGTGGTGTGTGTGTGTGTGTGTGTGTGTGTGTGTGTGTGTGTGTGTGTGTGTGTGTGTGTGTGTGTGTGTGTGTGTGTGTGTGTGTGTGTGTGTGTGTGTGTGTGTGTGTGTGTGTGTGTGTGTGTGTGTGTGTGTGTGTGGTGTGTGTGTGTGTGTGTGTGTGTGTGTGTGTGTGTGTGTGTGTGTGTGTGTGTGTGTGTGTGTGTGTGTGTGTGTGTGTGTGTGTGTGTGTGTGTGTGTGTGTGTGTGTGTGTGTGTGTGTGTGTGTGTGTGTGTGTGTGTGTGTGTCAATGCACACATCCAAGGTCAACAGCAATTCAGACTGAGAGTGGGCGACGAGCAGAGACTACTCAGGAGATAGGACACTTGTTGTTGCGGTTTTCTGGCTTGAAGCCAAAGTGCTGCTGAGAAAGGGAGAGAGAGAAGAGTAAGCAGAACAGGGATCGGAAATAAAATGCTTGAAATACATGCTTCACAGTTAATATTAATGAGGTTATGTCTTAACAAATCTGTTAACCGATGTCCTAATGCAATCTGTCCATTTGCGTAGGGATCTACGTGGAAACAACCTGATTTGTGACTGCAAGCTCAAGTGGTTGGTGGAGTGGATTCACCAGACTAACGCCACCCTGGACCAGATCTACTGCAGTGGCCCACCCATTTACCAGGGGAAGAAGATCAATGACCTGCTGCCACACTCTTTCGACTGCATGACAGCAGGTATCACGATCCTGCATCTGTCATAGAAGCATTCAACTGACATGAGCTGTCTGTCACCAGTCAATGGAATATGTTTTAAAAACTGAACAACTTTGTACAAACATCAATTTTCTGAAGTTTACACAACCTGTGCAGTAAAATCCAAGCCTCCCTTATCCAGTCATATGATTAGAACTTGCCAAACACATGCATTTTCTCTAAAACCTAGCTATTTAAAACATTTAGCTATAAATAAACAGTCACACTTGTCAGTTTGAGTTCTGTTTATGTGCAAGTCTTAAGGTTTTAGGCTAAAATGCATGCATGTTTGTGTAGAAGCAGTCTAGTAGCATAACTGGATATATGATAATTGGATTAAACTGCACACATTGTGTTAAAGCTTGTTAATGTATGTTTTATTTCTGTTAATATATAGCCTATTTACTTCTATTCATCAATAGCCTTCTCTGTTTTTAAATGTTGTGTTCACTATGGATGCATGGTAGGTACATCATAACCAAATTATATTTTTTTGTGGTAAAGAATGTATTTACCTCAGCCTTTTAACTCTTGTTTCCGTCCTTTTCGCATCAATATGTCAGTGCTGAACTAATTATTTAAATATAAAGGACAGAATTCATTGTCATGTTTTCATTTTTCAGAGTTTGCCTCCTATCAGTCCCTGAAGTTTGAGTCCATTTCGGTGGGGGCCTTCACCTTTGGAGACGATCAGTATGTTGTGTTTGCCCAACCGTTTGCTGGGACATGCAGCTTCCTGGAATGGGATCATGTTGAGATGACCTTCAGGACTTACGACACCATCGAAAGTGAGTCCATAAAAAAGTAAAGAGCAGCAATGGCTGTAATGGGGTTGTCCTGTGAGATATTCTGGCTTTAAATGGCAAATAGTTATTTATGGAGGCCCTGAGACGGAAGCGAGAAAGTCCATTTTCTAAGCCTGATCCAAACTGTTTTTATCTCCTGTGTTTATGGCTATAGAACTGCATCAACAACATATATTTTTCCTAGATAATCTTTTTCAAGTTTTCTTAATTCCTTTTCATAGTTTAAATGAGTGGGAAATATTTTTGACAGATGAAAAACAATATGTTTGCCAGGATGAAAAAATGTCACCATTATTTTCATAACTAAACTTCATTCGGTTTTGCATGGGCAGAAGACACAAATTACTGTGGCCATTGAATGGGCTGATAAAATGCATTTGGACTATTTGGATCGAAATAGATCCCTAGAATTGTTTATTCTTCGGCCTCAGGGCTTCCGTACTTTTTGTTAATGGGGACATACTTATCTAGAATATTTGATTATCCTTCCAGGATTACCAATGTTTTATGTATCTTCACATATCTTGTTCAGGCACCTCCACTGTGGTTTGCAAGCCTATGGTGATTCATGACCACCTCTTTGTCATCGTGGCCCAGCTATTTGGGGGCTCGCACATTTACAAACGGGACCCATCCGCCAACAAGTTCATTAAGATCCAGGACATTGACATCCTGAAGATTCGCAAACCTAACGACATCGAGACGTTCATGATCGACGGAGAGTCTTTCTTTGTTATCGCGGACAGCTCTAAGGTTGGCTACATTTTGCTTTTCCAATTTTGAAATTACTGATCTTTGGCCACATACTCATACTAAACCCTAATCTATTTGTTACAATGACTTCCTCTGACATTTTTACCTCTAGGCTGGCTCCACAACAGTATACAAATGGAACGGCAATGGCTTCTACTCCCACCAGTCGCTCCACCCGTGGTTCCGGGACACAGATGTAGAGCATTTGGAGATCGGAAACAAACCCCACCTGATCTTGTCGAGCAGCTCCCAAAGGCCTGTCGTCTATCAGTGGAACAGGAGCCAGAAACTGTTTGAACGCAGGACTGACATACCGGATATGGAGGACGTTTTCTCCGTCAAACACTTCAAGGTCAAAGGTGAGAGTCGCAGGTTGAACGGCAGTGCATCTACACACACAGGCTAATTAGACGTGCTCACCCACATTAAAACATAAAGTATCGCAGTATTAGCTTATACAGTACTCACATGTTTATTATAGTTTTTATTGGATTCAGTTTTTTGTAAGAATAACAGAGTCTGGGTAGTGTCAAATGATTAATAGCAGATTAAATGAAAGGTTAACAATTCATCTGATGTGGTTAATTCAATAAAACATTCATGTTAGATGTAATTTATTGCACTTCAGTTCCTCATTGCTAATAGGCATTCATTAGGAAAGTAGTAAGAGGCAATGTCCCTTTCGACTGCCATAAAACCTGCTCATAAATCATAACTGTGTAATATTCTCTGTCCAGGGTCAGCTTGTCTATAAGTGACTCTTTGCTAGCAAGCTATGATCTTTTGCAATGACATACACTGTCATTGGGATTATTTCTATATTTTAGATCCTGAATTTGTAGCTGGATACTAAACAGCCCCTTGAATCTTTTCAAAGGTGAGCTGTTTATATGCTTGACAAGATTCATCGGAGACTCCAAGGTGATGCGCTGGGACGGTGCCATGTTCAAGGAGGTCCAGACATTTCCTTCCCGCGGCTCTATGGTGTTCCAGCCTGTCTCCATCGGCAACTGGCAGTATGCCATCTTGGGCAGCGATTATTCACTGACGCAGGTCTACCAATGGGACACCGAGAGGGGCCAGTTTGTCCCATCCCAGGAGCTCAATATCCAGGCGCCTCGAGCATTTTCTATGGTTTCCATTGACAACCGGGTGTTCCTGCTCGCATCAAGCTTCAAGGGGAAAACTCAGATCTACGAGCACCTCATGATCGATTTGAGTAATTAAACATTAAAGATCTCATTTGGGACAATTTATGTTACACTACAATTTAAATGATTTTCTTCCATGATTAGGTTCTTTCAGTCTCATTCAAATCCACCAGCAATTTCCCACCCAGTTTAAACATTAAGACGTTTTAAGCAAAAGCTTTCTACTTACAACTATTTAAAGAGGTTTGTAAAGAAACTGTTCAGGACCCCTAGGATGAGATGAATTGCTCGAAATTCTTAAAATTGTTATGATCATGGAGTTTCTTTTGATAGGTCTGACATTTAAAATATATTTTACGAAGTCCTTTATGCCTGTGTTTGGCAACCTGTTGGTTCTGTGTCATTTTGATAATCTTCTTCTTTTTTTTCATCTTGATTTCTCACTATTTGGAAAATTGCCTTACCATTTGAAAAAACGAAATTCCACTCAAAGCGCGAAGTGACTATCTTTCAGGAAACACAAGCTATGAAATGATCGCTTTTGTCTTTTATTCAACACTGCAGGTGTAACTTTTTGTAACGTTTTTTTAACACACAGTATACATTTTTCTCTCTATTGTTAGTAATAGGTATGATTCAGGAGTTTGGTAGTGCTACAGACTGAATAATAGGAAGTAGGGGAGTCATTTTGAGAGAGAGGGCTTCAGATTGAAGTTATGCCTAAAAACTACATACATAATAGAGATTTGTTCTTAATTTAAGTCTTCTTTCATTTAACAAAGCATTTCAGGAAAATGTACTTCAAAGTAAAATGTCATTACATAAGATTATTCACAATGGAAGGTAAGCTCCTGAAATATGTGGACAAAGTATGCAAGCAGTGGGTCATTTGAATCATGTGACAAATAATGGGATGCTATATACCTTGTAGAAGACGGACAATCTCACAAATATAAAAGAATCAAATAGGACCATATCCCAAGTTTTATGGTCATGTAACAGCAGCAGCAGAGTAGTAAGCAGTCAGCAAGTCAGGGACTGAGCTTAAAAATAATACAAGCTTACAACCAAACAAGAGTAAAATGTGGACGGATATACATTTCTTCAAGCGCAATTTAGCAGCTAGTCAACCTATATTCCACCAGTCTTTTTTAATCACTAGTGGTGGACGAAGTGCTCGTACGTTGGTACAAATACAAAAGTATTACAATAAAAATGTACTTAAATTACAAAAAATAAAATTATTCATTATAAAGATCTATTTCAGACTAATATATTTTTCACTTAACACTAAAGGAGCAGCTGATTTTATTTTTGTACTATATACTGCTGGATGGATTGTGAATTTAACCAAGGATTCAATATACTTTTATCTTCATTTGTAATATCATATGATAAAGTATTTGTTGATAGCACTTTTTCATATTCAACTAAATCTTCAAAGTAATTAAAGTTATCAAATAGTAACTGTCCACCACTGGTAATTACCTACAACTTAGAGAAGTGACCCTAATATATGCGATGAAGAATCCACTAAACACTGTGAGAAAAACACCTTCTGTCCTGTCTTCTGTATGACCATCAGTTAAGCAAGACTGCATGTATGACACCGACACTCATAGTGTTTATTCCTGATGAATAACTTGCTAGAAGCGTCCCACTGTGTCACCCGTACCCAACTCTTTCACTGCACTCTTGCCCCTTTTCTCCCTCATTGACAAAATCCATTGTTGTCTTTACTCCCCATCTAAAAAGCCAACCACTGTGCAGCACCTGGTACCTGTGCTTTTCACACGGTCCTCTTATTCTGACACAAAGGAAAAAGATAACAACTAACAACGTCACTGATTTGCCAAATATAATGTTTACGTTTTTACAGTACTGTGTAAAGTAATTTATATGATATAGCTTTTTTGTATGTAGAGGGACCACACTTAATCTTTTATTTTTCTTAGATATAGAATATAATGTACGAGGATCACCTCCTTCCTGCAAAACTGTGTAGTCTAATCTAGTTAGGATAGAGGATGTTAGCTATTCCTTCGTCATCTTGCTCATTGTATTTTATGTACCGTGGTAATAAAATACTAAAATGTTGAATCAGAGATGCAGTTTCATTTATTATGTTTTTGAACATTTAGTAAGTGAGGTTTTTATTTCTCACACAGTAGATATGGATTGGAGTCAGTTTGAACTCAAATCAGATACCCCAGTGTGGTAGAAAATAAAAAAAACAAAATAATTCCATTGTGTGTCCAAAATCCAGAAGTATTACTTTCAGCGGAAGTACATTTACTTAAGGATCGTACCTTAGTTCAAATTTGAGGTACGTGTATTTATCTTTGGATTTTATGTTACTTAATTATTCTACTCAGCAACCCAAACCCTTTTTACTCCGATACATTTAAAAGAAAAAATATGATTGTTTGGTATCACTGTGTGCTGTACTGGAATATTTAAAAATGATGGTGATGTCTTTTACTCAAGTAATATATCTGACTAGACTACTTCTTTCATCAATGCTCAAATTAATCCTGGAGCTATCCAGACATCTTTAATACTTCTTGTAATAATGAAAGGTGAGAAAAGTATTCTTTATTTAAGTAAAAGTAAAAACACTATGTTCTTAAAATCCTCCCTTACAAGTAAGAGTTATACATTGAAAATGTAACTATGAGTTTTAAAAACGTGGTGTAATAAGAGTAAAAAGTACATATTTTTCCTCCAAAAGGTTGTGGAGTAGAAATATTTGTAAGAATCTAAAATTAAGTAAACTACAATAATTCAAAAACTTAAGTAGGCCTATAGTATTTTAGTTAATGAAATGTGTTATTTTCCACTAATAGTATAAATGTAGCCTGATATTTATGTTTTTCATTAGGATTTTCTGTCAGCCCAAACGTGTGTACTGCAGGCTTGAGTTTTGGTTGGTTCAAATCTCCACTGCCTGCCTCTGCTATGGGCGTAAACGTTGGGCAATGTTTTAGTTGTCCAGCAGCAGAGTTGTTCTGGGATCAGTTCTGCCCCCCTGTGGGTAAAGTAACCAACGCATGGGAGTGAGTACCCTGCCACCAAGGTTAGTCATTAACCTTGTCTAGTCACTCAGGGCACCGAAGAAAGCGGACAGCAGCATTCTGACCGAGGCATGCTGCCGCTCCGCTGCCACATCTCACCATGGGCGACTGGAACCACTGTGAGCGCGAGCGGGCTTTGTCCATAGAGGACGGCGTTACTGTGGTGTTTCATAAAGTTGACAGCCATGCTACAAACAACAGTGACGACGACGACAGTGGCGACGATGAACGGACAACTGCCACGATTCACTTGCAAAGTAACTGCCATGTGTCGTGTGATTACGAGGATGGTGATGCTGAGGAAGCGAGGGCGAATTCACCGGAAGGCAGCACGAAGAAAACATTGTGCCCGCCGGCGTTTTGCGTCAGAGGCAAGCTCGCATCCCGAGAAGGAAGCGCACTAACAGGTAGAACAGCGCGTGCACTGTTAGCTAGGGTTAAATACCGGCTTCTGAGCTGATGTGATTCGTGTCTCCACCCTCAGTAAATGAACTTTGAGATGGGAAGACGATGCAGAAATACAGTGATAAGCAGCCAGAGAACCAATGGCTTCCTGCTGCGTAGCCTCACGTTATACAACCGTGTAACGCCATGTATCAGTAATATAGAGCTGACATCACGTGGAGCCTATTAACAGCACATGGTTAAAGAAAAGCACCGTTAAAGTTAATTTATACATTTGAATACATATTTTCTTCAAGGCTTTTACATTTCCACAGTGCTTTACATCACAGTAAACGTGAGCTATGTAGGCCTATACGATATATTGTTTTGTTATTGTAAATCTTTTATTTATGTTAGTTTATTATTTCAGAATAAAACCGCAATATGTCAGTGTTCCATATGCCTTGTAGCTTTAATATTATACACATAGATAAACTGCCAGCATAACTTTTGCATCATCTTCCTCCAAGAGGAAGGATGACTGTGCACTTTTGTAGGCTTTGAGTATGACAAACCTATAAAAAAGACCTTATCAAAACATTTCCATCCATATAGCTAGAATGAAGATCTGATTATGTTATTTTCCCCCCTCTTTTTATTTAAGTAATTATATGAACACATCATATATTATCATTATGTACACACACAAAACTGTTCACACGCAAGGGTTACACATACCAAGTAAAGAAAATAATAAGACATAGAATAAACACTAACAATTAAGTCAAACGTATTCAAAAAAGTTGGAGATCTTGGTGGAAGTGTCCAAAACTTTCTATGAAGTGAGTCCAACTCTTTCCATACATAATATTAAAGTACAACAATGCATTTGAGTATCTTCTAACACTTAGTCTAGTTAATAAGTAAGTGCCAATCAACAAGAGAGGTGTGAGAGTATTAAACAGGTTTACCTATCTGTGTAACTTTGCATGAGGAAATTAGGCGATTTGGCTTTATTATGGGAAATAACAAGGAAGTGAGAGATGCACTCAATGCCCCATGACATCAGTTTCCCTTTGTGTACCTTCACCTATTGAACAATGATGCACGAAACAGGGTGCAAAAAAGAAAGGCTGACACGAGCGCTAGAAAATAAATCGGTATATTGACACATCTTATCTTGACCGTTGACTATACTCACACAAATGTTAATGATTATTTAAGACAGCATTTATATTCTACGTTAATTCATTATTACTTGCAAACTATCAGTGAAATAATAACTGAATGGTATGATCATATGATCTATTACAAATGTGTCCAATTCAATGATTCCAAGCTCATGTAGAGTGTAATACTAATCTCGTAATGTGACACTGTAATAATATTCTTCTTCATCTCCTCGCTCCGTGCTAGGTAATGAAAACAAACACTGTGATAGGATAAATGAAATGCCAAGTAGACCGCACATTGTGGAAAAATACAAAGATGTCCGAGTGACCTCAGGTTTGAATTTAATCTCTGCAAGCATATCATCTTATTTTTCCACAGGCAGGGTTTGCAAACACTACACCGTTTTCTGGTGCACATATTTTCTTCGTTTTTTTTTTTTTCAACTGAATACTATACCAAGGCCACATGAAGTTCAACAACATTCTTTAAACTTCACTACTCCATCCTGCCTTTAATGTATCAACATAAGCAAAATAAAATAAGCATTCATTTATTGCACCCTCTTCTCTCCCCTTGTGCTAATTTAACCATCCCCAAACTCTCATTTTTTCCAGACTCAGAGAAACCAAAGAGATGTCAAGGTCTGGGTTTGTTCTATGCTTTCCTGGCCACAGTTTTCTTCTCCATCATTGCGCTCTTGGTGAAAACAATCGAGGGAATCCACGCCATAGAGATCAGCGCCATACGCTGCTTCTTCCAGATGCTCTTTACTATGCCGTTACTCATCTACCACAAGTAAGCATTATGATAGATAGATGGATATATACTTTATTCATCCCAAATTTGGAAATTATTTTATGGAGAAACACAAACATTGACAGTTACAAATTTGATCCCAGGGTTTGGCATTTAGACATGCATTTTCTCCTAAACAGTCTTCATTCCAAACAGTAATTTAAATGTTGGGATAACATTAAGTGCGTAAGCTCAGCAGTGAAGTAGTACATTTCCCTCCCAGTAATTTATCTTGGGGCTTTCTCACGTTTGTGTTCACTCATGCAGCCCCCCCTCATAGGTAAATATCCTGGCTTAGCATGCAATCCCTGCTCAAACAAGTTTAAGTTGTCAAAATAATGTGAGAGACATGAATTATAATTATTATATTACCCCATGTAGATCAATTTTACGGAAGGTTTTTTCTAAAATGCTTTCCCACAATAAGCTAATTCTATTATTAAAAAGGACATTTCGATTAAATTATCACAGTTTCTGTTCCTCAGTTTGCTGATCAATAATAGCACATTTTACCATGTTCACCTAATGTTGAATTATACAATGAACTTCACATACGAACAAAATGGAATACATAATTTGTTGCTGGTTATATAAATGTATTCCATTCACCATATTAGAAGTGAATAAGTTGCATGGTTTAAATTTAGGTTGTAATTGATACATATGTTTGTATTTCCCTGAGGTTTATTTGCAATAGAGGCAGAACCTTTGTTGACTCAAAATCCTTAGTTTCTAAAATAATTTATGCAATACCGTGCACTCCACCAAAAGAAAAGAAAGCACTTTTATTGTCTGAACGACTAAGGTAAATGATATGGAGGGAAAGGCAATATATCTTAAAACATTCATTTAACTTTTAACCCAGTTCTATTTCGTTTAGGCGTAGCCCTCTAAGGCTATCGCTATTGGGTAATCCCCTGCGCACCCGCGCAGCACTGAAAACACTTGTAATCCACACCCACCCGCGAGGTGGGCCCCACCTACGGTATAAATAGGAAGGAGGCCCGACAATCTTTTTTTCGGCCGAAAAGGCAAGAATCTGCAAGGAAGGTACTGCTTGAGGCTCCAATCAGTCCGGACAGGCTGTTTGGACCTCATTAGGCGTGTTCACACCGGAGTACTTTTCCCCGTACTTTTCCCCGTACTTTTCCCGTTTAGTTCCGTTAGTACCCCTTATGTTGCGTTCACACCAAAAAGAGTACTTAGTGCCGGGAACTTTTACCCCCATTTTTAGTGCCTACTGAGAGGTGGTACCAAAAAAGTACCAAAAAAGTACCAATTTCTATTGGCTGGGCGAATTGCAAACCACGCCCCGTAAAACTCAGAAAAGTTTTGTGAAGCCGCCATTGTATTTGTGGCATTAGCATTATTAGCATTAGCATTAGTCCCGCGCACCAACGGAGAGAGAATAACTTATGGCAACACAAAAAAAAACATGGGAGCGGTGGAGTGATGAGGAGGTGTCGGCGTTCTGGCGTTTTACTCGGAAGGCTGCTGGGACTCCCAGCAGCTTCTACTGAAGCCAGTCCCCAACTCCGGGGACTTCCGGCCGTGAAGTTGTTTGTGGCCTGCCAGTAAACCCAAAGCAGAAGCAGAAGAAGACGAAGTGACGTCAACGGCTCATTTGCGTAATCTTCCCCTCAGGGAATGTGTGAACGCGATCTGTACTTAGTGCCCTGGGGTACTAAGTGCCGGGGCACTAAGTACGGCAAAGTACTTGGTGTGAAAGCGGCTATTTTCAGGCCATGGTGGAGTCGATGAGGTCCGCCTCGGAGAAGGCGGACGACATCAGACGGCATGTCAGCTGGCTTCAGCCTGCCGAGCATCCCCAGTTCCCGCAACGGCGGCGACGTCAGGGTCGCCCTTCGGCGGCTGCGGGGGCCCCGTCCCAGGTCTCCGCTCCTCCGCCGGTTCAGAGACAAGGTCTCCAAGCGACGAGTCTGAGGGGATCAAAGCACCACCGCTCCCGGTCTGCTCCTCCGCGAGAACCTCCGAGGAAGCAGAGCAGGAGATGACATGCTGGGGGGGGGGGGGATATGTGTGAAGAGGTGGGGAAATGTTTTTAATAAACATGTTCCAAATTCCAACAGCGTGTCTGTCGTCATCAGCTGCTGCTGTGTTTCACATGTCCCCCGCACGGTGCAAACCGCTTTTATTTAAGGGATGTCCCCCTTTTCCCTCTCCGACACACTCTGTGCTGAGTGTTTTGTCAGAGTGAGTGATATCGGGGACCTCAGCTGTGCGCCCTCTCTCCTGCCTGTCGGCACGCAGAGAGCGGCCCTTTTTTTCCCTCTTATGGGAGGGATATGTCCCTTTCTTCTCTAACACACTCTGTACGGAGTGTCAGAATGAGTGATATCGGGGACTCAGCTGTGCGCCCCCTCGCCTGTCGGCTGTTTCTCACATGCCCCCTGCACGTTGCAAGCCGGCTGCCATAACCCTGTCAGTTAGTAGGCAGCAGGGCTCACTATTCAATCCGGCAGGCCTTTAGCCTATCGGCTAATAGGAAGCATGGGTTTTTCCTCTGTCCCAGATGTGCCTCCTACACACGGTAATGAGCCCACGAGTGCCGGTATTTCGCCTCGTGTGTACAGCACTGCACACACCTCCACTCACCCCTCAGGGGGTTTGAGCGTGAACGCGCCTTAAATGTCTGGTTTACGAGCCTTCTCCTAAACTGCGACATAAGGAGAGCCTGTGTGAAAAGCAGCGTGTGGAGGCCCCCTCGCAGTCCTTTCGGTCCGTGCCCCCCTTGGGTTGCTTCACGGGCAACGGAGGCGATGGCGTGGCTCGTCACCATGATTACCACAGATCATCGGGTGCGTGAGTATTACTCAGAGTGGCGGCGCGTGTGTTCGATGGACAGATGGATGAGCAGGCTGATCAGCAGAGGGTATACTCTACAGTTCGCCTCCCCCCCCGCCCCGCAGTTCAATGGGATACAGGAAACAATTCTGTCATCCCAGGAACAGTGTCTTGCGCTCCATTCAGAGCTGCTGGAACTCCTGTGGAAAAAGGCATTTCCTGGGTTCCTCAAAGGGAGGAAAATGTACTCCCGTTATATTCTTATCCCGAAAAAGACCGGGGGAATGAGACCCATCCTCGATCTGTCAGTATTCAACGGAATAATGAGAAGGCTTTTTCATATGCTGACGATCAAACAGGTGCTGGAATGTGTTCACCAGAACGACTGGTTAACTTCCATAGACCTGAAAGATTCCACGTAACCATCATCCCGAAACACAGGAAATTCCTGCGTTTCTCTTTTATGGGAATATCGTATTCCCTGGCTCCTCAAAAGTGTGTAGAGACGGCTCTGGAGCTGTTAAACAGAGGAGGGATGAGAGTGTTGTTTTATCTGGACGACCTGCTATTGCTGGCTCGCTCCAGGGAGGAAGTCGCTTTACAGACGGTACATCTCGTATCGCATCTGTCAAGCCTGGGTTTCATAATAAATTGGAAGAAGAGCTGTCCTTTTCCCTCTCCCACAATCATTTATCTGGGAGTGGAATTAAACTCAGCCAGCATGAGAGCGCGGTTCTCGCGGCAGAGAGTGGAGAAACTGACAGCTCTCCTCCGGCGTGTCACACGCCGCAGCTTGGTGACAGCCCTCTCTGTGACAGCTGCTCGGCATGATGTCAGCTGGTCACGTGGTGATCCCCCTGGGTCTCCTCCACAGGTGGAGAATCCAAAGGTGGTTCATTCTCCTACGCATCAACCCTGTGCGTCAGACGTAAATTGTGCTGGAGCTGCTCTCCGTTGGAAAGTATTCCAGCACTTCGCCCCGTTGCTGTACAATCAACATGTGTTAATTCGCATAGACAACAGGGCCACGGCAGCCTACCTCAATCGCCAGGGAGGAGTACGATCTGCGCAGCTTCTGAACGCAGCCAGACGGCTGCTGTTCTGGGCGCGCACACACTTGCTCTCCATCAGAGCAATGTATATTCCCGGCGAATTGAACAGAGGGGCTCACAGAGCGCAGGATCACCCCCCTCTGGGGGTAGACGCGTTCGCACATCGGCCGTGGCCCAGGGTGCTGTTATACGTTTTTCCCACCAGGTCCTGATAGCCCCGGAGCGCACTGGAGCGTCCTGGTTTCCATGCCTACAGCGTAGGCCGTCATGCAGACCGTGGGAAATTCTGCCAAACAAGCAGCAAAGAATTTGGTTGTTCATCATTTCTCCTGTTTTCTCCTGTTTTGCAGGTCAGTTGTGTGTACATATTGTCACAAGCGTTATAAATATCCACGGTAGTGTTGTGTCACCACAGTGTTTGAAGTGGTGTTTGGACGTTGTTTATTGTCTTCAATGCCGCGTAGGAGACTGCCTCGTGGTTGCTGTGTGTGCGTGTGTGTTTAATGGCGGTCGCTATTTTAATGTAGCATAACTGAGCTCTCTGATCAAAGTGAATGCAAGTAAATGTAATTGTTTACAGCTCCTGTACATTTTGTACTTACATATTTTCCGGGTTTATATCCTAAGTATTTTGTGTGTGTCTTTTGTATTATCTGTATGTGTTCTATGGTCAGAGTTAATACATAAATGCTTGTTGGATGCTAATGCTAGCACAGATTAGATAGATTCTGATGCTTTGCCTGGGAAGGTATTTAAAAGGGTTTGATTACAAAATCAATATCTGAATAGAGAAATTCTTATTTTAAGTCATGGTGTTTATTTCAAATATATTGAAGACATGAATATATATACACATGTGTTTTATATTGAAGACAGAAAAGGGCATTAACAATTGTGTGTGTGCCAAATGAATAATACATTCTGGCAAGATCCGCCAAACGAGCAGCAAAGAATTTGGTTGTTCATAATTTCTCCTGTCTTGCAGGAATATTATCTGTCATCGCGCCCTGCTTAGCAGGCTTGGCCTCTCTCAAGATGTTGTACGTACTATCCAGGGAGCCAGGGCCGCGTCCACCAGAGCGAGGAGTACGGAGACTCAGACCTGTGTCACGCACATTGGCGCCTCAGTGGGACTTGGCTTTGGTGTTACGTGCACTGAGTAAAGCCCCATTTGAACCTTTAAATCAGGTTCCCCTTAAGTTTTTGTCAGCCAAAGTAGCACTACCTTTAGCGCTGACATCAGCAAAAAGGTTTAGTGACTTGTCTGCCCTCTCTGTGGCTCCGTCATGTCTCCGGATCCAAGGAGATGGCAGCTCAGCTCTTTTGCACCCTAAACCCGGCTTTTATGCCAAATGTTATCACGAGCTCCTTAGGTCGAGAGTGATAACTTTGGATGGCTTCTTTCCTCCTCCTCACACATCAGAGGAAGAAGCAACATCTCATCTCCTCTGCCCCGTGCGCGCTAGCACGCTATTTTACACGCACGGCTGCTTTGCGCCGTTCCCAGCGCCTGTTTGTGGATTACAGAGAGCGCTCACTAGGGCTTCCTCTGTCTGCACAATGCCTGTCACACTGGCTGTGTGAGGCTGTGTCACAGGCGTATGTCTCCTCGGGAAGGGATCCCCCGGAGAACATCAGTGCGCACTCCACCAGAGGATTTTCATCCTCTACGGCTTTGCACAGAGGAATGTCAGTGGAAGACATTTGCACTGCTGCGTCTTGGTCTTCCCCCTGTTCGTTTATTCAATTTGATTTGAGGGAGATCTCCCATTCTTCTCTGACACACTCTGTACTGAGTGTCTTGTCAGAGTGAGTGACGTCAGGGATCCAGCTGTGCGCTCTCCTGCCTGTCGGCACGCAGAGAGCGGCCCTTTTTCCCCCTCTTTTATCGCTGGACAAAGTGTGACCTGAGTCTCTACTTTTTCACAGCGGCAGGTTTGTATTGTTCCCAGCCTTCGTCCCCTCATGGAGTATATTCATGTTATGCTATATTTTCAGGGACTGTGATGAGCCATTACGCATGGCGCAATAGGCATGGGTTATTAATTGAGTAGGTGTGTCTGTGCTTATGGTACCGGACGGACCCAGTGGGGCGCAGACTACATCATGCTTCGCCCTTAACGCAATAGCGATAGCCTTAGAGGGCTACGCCTATACGAAATAGAACTGAAGTTACGTACTGTAACTCCCGCTTCTATGAGTATAGGCGTGGCCCTCTAAGTTCTGGGCCCCACTGGCTCCACAAATAGCTGAAGAAAAGCTGTTTGTGTGGGAGCAGATTGTCGGGCCTCCTTCCTATTTATACCGGAAGTGAGTCCGTAGGTGGGGCCCACCTCGCGGGTGGGCGTGGATTACAAGTGTTTTAATCCCCCTGCGCAGCCGCCCAATAGAATTGTTTGATTACCCAATAGCGATAGCCTTAGAGGGCTACGCCTATACTCATAGAGGCTGGAGTTACAGTACGCAACTTCAGTTATTTCACTAGCTCGTATTGAGTCACTTTTTTCTTTACATGGATGGATAGAAAACCAGCAGTACTTCTATTCATTCATTTACCTTTTCATCCATCCATCCATCCATCCGTATGTCCTCTACATTCTGCTTTATTTTACATTAATTCATAATCAACGCTCATTCTCTCCTTTCAGCTCAATCTGTTCATCTGTCTATCCATCACTGTCATCTCCACATTACTCACCCATCCATCTATCCAGCCGTCCCGTCATTTATCTCTCCGCTCACTTTGCTGCTCAATTTCCCTCCATCCATCCCTGTCTAAAATCCTGTTTATTACTTCCTCTGTCAGTCAGTCCAATCACCCATGCGTCCGGTCATTCATTCATCCATCATCCTCATATCTCTGCTCCTCCAGGACAGGTTTCCTTGGTCCCAGAGACCAAGGATATATCTGGTGCTTCGAGGCTTCATTGGTTCCAATGCCATGATCCTGCTCTTCTATGCTGTTCAGCAGATGCCTCTAGCGGACGCCACCGTCATCATGTTCAGGTAGGAAGTTAATTGATTGTGGATTAGTGGAGATTATACCTCTACTACAAATAGATGATGTCCTCCCAGAATTGTACGCCTGTCACCTTTTTCGTTTTAATCTCCCTATTGTTCTTATAAACTCATTTTCCAACATGTTTGATATGGCACTTAATTATCCCGCTCTCCTTTATCTGTCAGTAATTCATTAAAGATCTGGGAAAGGGGAGTTTTATCAGGCTTATATGAGAGAAATGTGTTGAGACAATAATCCCAATGATTTATTTAATTAGCCTTACATTTTTTCTCACATTTACTCACCTCTCACACTATCTTACTCAATTCTTTCTTTCAGTAATCCAGTCTTTACCTCCATCCTGGCCTGGATCTTCCTGAAGGAGAGATGCACAATCTGGGATTGTGTCTTCACTGTCTTCACTATCACTGGAGTCCTCCTCATCGCAAGACCGCCATTCCTATTTGGCGATCATCGACGTACCATTGATGGCAACTACAATAACCACATCAAGGGAACTATTGCTGCATTTGCAGGTAATACAGTTAATAAACACTTATAAACAGTTTGTTTAGCAATATAAAGTAGGTAAAATCATTCAGGACAAATAGGATGTTTTGATATTGTGTCCATCTGTAGTTATATTCATTTCAATGAGTCGAGGTTATACTGTAAGGAGGTCATCCTCCAGTGGAAGTTGAATTCTCCAATTTGCCAGGATCTCTACTTTAGGGATTATTTATTATCCCTAATTGGCTAAACACTTTTAAAATACAATTTTCGGTCTCAAAATGGGTCCCAAATTAAGTTCAACCAATGTATTAGGAGCTTCACTTTGTGGCAAAATGTCATTTCGGCAGTACAAAGTTCAAAATGATATCACTTAAAATCTCTATTCTATTGTCTTAGGAAAAAAAGCTTTGTTTAGTACAGTTTTTCTTGAATAAATCACACTTGATTATTCTATTATACTGTATCTTTCAATAACATTAATTTGAAACTAAGGATGCAGAGTGATAATTTCCTCCAATATTGTGATTTATATACTGCACACTGCAACTGATGATACATCTCAAATTCCTTCCTGTCCTCATTTGTGATGCCAAACATTGGACAGAGAAAGGCTGTTATTTTCCCTCAGCTCCTATGCAAGCCATAACAGTGATCGTTCCCATGACTTTTTGTGTTTTCTAGCTACAAATAAATTGGATTGTGGCCCACAAATAGACCTCCAAATAATCTGATTTCCACAGCCTAATGGCATTCTGGATGAGAGCAGGTGGAAGTTATGACACCACCAGTTTCAGTGTCGAGAAATACATATTTTTGTATTATGTGCCAATAATTGAGGGCTTGATGGGAAGTATCTCACACGGCAGGACAGGAGGAGGAGAAGCGAATATATTGGGTTGTGATTCACAGATTTCACAGAGATTAAGTAGCCACAAGAGGAAACTCCAATGAACAAGTTAATTAAATCAAATCTTACAACAAAGGTATTCAATGATAGATACACACCCTGAAGCAGTGTATTCGATCATATATTGTTTTTGTCTCATGTTTCTTTGTAGATGTTTTATTAGTTAGTCATTAGTCTCGTGATAGTTGTTTTCATTCATTCTCTTTTTGTATTGAATCCCAGCTGCTATTGGGGCTGCTTGTACATTCGTTATCCTTCGCAAGATGGGGAAGAGTGTCCATTACTACCTCTCCGTCTGGTACTACGCTGTCATCGGCTTCATCCAGTGCCTCATCACCACATCCGTCCTCGGAGAGTGGAAAATCCCCAACTGTGGCCGCGACCGCTGGCTGCTGATGCTGATAGCTGTCCTGGGTATCGCCGGACAGACCTTCCTCACAAAGGCCCTTCAGATCGAGAAGGCTGGACCCGTGGCCCTGATGAGGACGATCGATGTGGTGCTGGCATTCACCTTCCAATTCATCTTCCTCAACCGTGCACCGACCTTATGGAGCCTCGGGGGGGCGCTGTGCGTGGTGGCGAGCACTAGCGGAGTAGCGTTTCGGAAGTGGTACGTCAACTCGCGCAAAAGCTGAGAAGAAGGAGCAAGATAGAGTACTTTGGCATTACCATTTCACCATTTTATGTTCTTGATTAATTCTGTATTTTTACTTGTTACTTAGATGCAAACCTGTGAGAGAGTTTAAGCTCTTTGGAAATCAAGTAGAGGTCAGTTTTGAGTTTATGATTAAATTCAAAACTGAATTATGTACATCTATACATGTTGATTCCTGAGAGTCAACTTGTGTGACTTGGGTTATGCATTTATTTGTGTGTACATCTCTGAAAGAATTAGGAGGAAGGAACAACTGTCAGGTTCTCTGGAGCCTGAACTGCTTTCTATCTGCATACTCAAGACAGTTTTCCTATTTCCTCCTCAATATAGTATGTACAAATTAAGTGGGACTGGAAGTTTACTTTTACCAGAAGCAAGCGGTTAAATGAAGGATATCCTCAGTCCCATTTTCGATTTGCTTCTAGCTGACTAAAATAGCAAAAGAGAAGACGTTTATTGGGACCAGCCACACTGTTACATAACTTTGCAATAATAATATGCTGAAAAAGGAATACTACATGACATACTACACCATGGAATGAATATCTGCAAAGAGTACTTGTAGGATCAATCTGTCAATAAGGAAAGGAAATGCAAACCAAAATGAAGTATAAGCATCTAAATATGCATTTCTGTATAGCAAACAAAACATGTTATTAGAAAGATATTGCAGATATAGAAAGAAATAGAAACGATTGAAATAAAGGTTAGAATGTTTTACTTGAAACAGTTTTACTATTTACTCAGGGATTTCTTTTCTATGTGCTTATAATGCCCCTAATATGAATTACACCTGAATCCAACCCAATGCAATTCATGAAGAAATTATTCCATTGTGTTTTTTTTGTTTTTTTTCCCGTTATCCCTATCTCCATCTCCCCTAACATATTACAAGACAATAAGCTGATATCAACTGTTATACAATCCAAAGTTGATAATTTATTAACAATATCTTTGAAGTGCCTTAAGTAGGGACCTCTAACCTCCAGCTTCCCTTAGTGGAGCTCCTCAGTCACCAGCAGCCTGTACTGGGCAGCTATCAGGTGGGATTGTGAAAGTAAATATGAATATGAAGTAAGGTTCTTACAACAAAGAAGATCCATCCCAATAACTCGTGTTTAAAAAAAAAAAGTCTAACAGCATTTTGAGGCACCTATAAACTTTAAGGCATTGCTGTTATCCTCACTCTGAAGTCTTCATTATCTCATGTCCACTCTATAGCAGGGGTTCCCAACCCCCGGTCCGCGGACCGGTACCGGCCGCGAAATAGCTGTGAGTTTATCGTAATATTTGCAGAATTATAAATATATAAAAATATTTTATCATAATATTTTTTTCAAAAAGTGTTTAATTTTCGCACCTATGCCACCAGTCATATTATTTCATCCAGTAGCTAGTTAATCTTTCACCAGAAAACCGTTGAAAATGGCTTTTATGATGTTCCGAGGGATTCGGCGGCTCAGCCTAAGGTCTCAGCCTCTTGTGCGCACAAGCATGTTACCGGTGCGCCAAGTAGGAAGAGGAGCGCACAGGAGACAACCGTTTGATTGCAGACTGTTATGTTTATGTGGGGAAATGGTGGTGCATACATTATTTGAGATATATTTCAAACTCGGACTTCATTTTAAGGACATGTCGGCCAGGGGTGTTGAGGGAGCTATTTGTTTAAGCACCGGATTGGCAAAACAGGAGAGTAAACCAGTCTGCCTTGATCTATGAATTAATGTCCGTATTTGTTCAGGCTGTTACATACAATTAGCCTCTGTTGCTACCTGCTGGTGGTGAGTAAATATTAAAATCAGTTAAAATTGACAACCGGTCCGCGATTTCTTTTTAATGTATCTACCGGTCCTTGGCACAATAAAGGTTGGGAACCCCTGCTCTATAGCACTTAATGTCATCTTGACCAATCTAATTAGTGTTCTGAAAAGTCAAAAAATATATTTTCCATGATGCTTAAAGAGGGGTGTTGTTTGCACTTTGCTGCAGGGTAGAAAAAGTGTCTAACCTGCCACGATGACTCAACAAATGAAGTGAGCATCCAAACGGCTGCACCCAAGAATTGCCAAATAATAACGTCCTTTATATTAGAGGGGAATAAATGAGAAAACCCTGCACCAAGTTCGTCAAGAAATAAGAAAGCCGATGTTAAGGTTTTCAATTCTGAGGACACTTGCTTTTGTGAACTCAAAATGGCAATCTGTTGTTTTGTTCCAGGCAGAGGATGTCTGTAGATGCACGGGTTATTTGAATCTGGCTGAAACACAAGGAAATGGACTCAAAAATAGACAAAAAATGAATGTAATTGTAAATATTCAAAGCAAAAAATGTATTGGATATTGTGCTTAAAGCAATGTTGTGTTTATCTTTCGGCACTAAACGGTTGCCTTGGTGTCCTCCGATGCTTTAAAGGTGATCTTTAAGTGTTATTGTTTGAAGGGAACCCATGAACAACCTTTATTTTAAGTTAGATGGGTTTCTAGCACAGCAGTCTGTGTTTGTTTAAAAAATGCTGTATTTTTACACTACACCAGTGGCATAACAGATTGTCTCCCGGTACAACTGCAGTTCTCTTGCTGGAAAGTTTAATTGGGTGAAATGTAGCTGGGAAAAGGAAGGAAATAATTGCTGCTAGACTGCTGGTTAATATCCTGCAGTTTCTTCCTTGCTGTTTTTTACAAACTGCTGTTCTGCTCTCATGGTTCAAAAATGATGCCAACACTGCAATTATAGTTCTTCCTTTTGATCTAGAACTCATAAACTGAACTCAGTTTGAAATAAGTCAAACACTTATTCCAATAGGAATATTTAGATTTAACATTGGTCCTCTAGGGGATAACAGTGTGATATCTAAAATCCAAGCAATGCACTCGATGCCATGCTAGAGAAAGACCTCTTCTATGAGAGCTAATTTGATTTTAATTTCCATGTAATTTGCTGTGGTTATTATAATAAGAACAGATATTTTATTTTATTTTCAAAACCAATATAAATACATTATTTTTACAGGGTGAAATACAGTAAAATGATTATTAAGCCTTCATTATTCAACAAACCCTGGGATCTAATTAATCTTTCAAGGGTTGAATAGTAACATTTTATGTTCTTCTAGTTTTATTTTCTCTTTACCTCTCAGAACATTTTAGTTGATGCTGGTAGACCATCTTGTTGTTTTCTATCAAATGGTAAGGTAAACTTGGGGTAAGGTAAATGTGTTTCAGAAACCTACAAGCCTTACAAAACATGCTGTTGTTAGGGGTTTTAAACTATGCTTTAATAGTATTTATTTTACTATTTCTGTACTGTATTACATCAACATATTGAATACGATGTATATATTTCTGCATAGTGATGGAATATATTTAGTAAACTCTGATTTCATAATAAATTCTTTATGGATATTCTTACTCTTGTTGTCTGTGGCCTTGTCTTTACTCTTTTGGGTTTGTTTTTCATCTAAGCCTGACTTATTTTATCTTTCTAACATGACTGAAACTTATGGAACAGACCCAAAGTGTTTTGTTGTATTGTCTGTACTTCTGTCATTGTACCAAAGCCCATAGTGTTGCCATAGGTGACAATGATGCAAACCACTGAGTCAGGTGCTCAGAATCGTACCTGGTTGAGTGGTTTGTATGCATCATTGTGTGTACATGTGCATGCAGGTTATGTTTCCCTTTGAGCATTAAACCTTTGTTTATTTTGGCATTATTTGTAGACAGTTGTGAGGCTCTGTGCAGTCATGTAGAACGGCTGTGTTTCATTGTGTCACAGGATAACCTATATATTGCCAAAAAAATGCATGTACCTTCCGTAGAGGGCTGGCTGCATGCAGATGATGTCATAAACCCAACTCTAGATCGAGGCGTGTGGCGCAGTGGGTTAGTGCGCTGATCTTCGAATCAGATGATAGCAAGTTTGAGTCCCACTGCAGTCAGCATGTCGTTGTGTCCCTGGGCAAGACACTTCACCCCAAATTGCTCCCGTGGGGATTGCCCAAAGTATTGAGTAAGTCGCTTTGGATAAAAGCGTCTTAACAAGTAACATGTAATGTAATCTAGGCACGGCTGCATTGTAATTCTTCAGCCGAGCAAGTGAAGTGTGAAGAGGCTGAACTAGAACAGAGAAGCTCTTTGTTAAAGGGGACAATTACCATGATGCTAAAGAACATATTTTGTTCCCTCCACCTTCAGCTTTAGAACTACTTGTTCCTTTTATGTTCTCGATTTTAACAAGTAATCCCCATCAATTTCAATATGGTGATCTCTACAATGTACCCCTATTCACAACAAAACGTACTCCATGGATTGTAAAGGGATTTATTTAGTTGATTCTGTTTTGTAGGTAGAATCAGTAGTCATTGTACAACTGCTATGATCAGTAATGTTAGTATCAGTGTTATTATAGCTATTGAATCAGGTGTAACTTGGATAATAGTAGGTTTCTAAACATGTAATGAACTTTTACTGACAGCAGAGGGCAGGATCCACAAAACAAGGATTTGCTCTTGAATGCAACTTCACCTCCTTTAGGTCAAAGGTGTGTGTGTATAAGAGTTTGTTTGTGAAGTTATATCTACAGTACTTTATTTAGGTTACATTAACTAGCAATAGGCTCGGATTGGGTTGTAGATGTTTGATCTATTATCCCATTATTTCTGACAGTGTAGGCCACCATTTCTAAAACGTAAACAAATGAACACAAGTGCAAGTTCTCAAGTCACTCCAGTCTTTATCTACTTTTCCTGTCGATTACAAAGCTTTTTCTGAAATGTAATAATCACATCGGATATTAGGCTATGGCGTGGTTAGAATAAAGATATGCTTGGACAAAAAACACCCGCCTTTTTTTTAATCAGGGATCTGGGGATTCCCAAAGGTTTGCACATGAGTCCTGGGTGGAGGAGAGGTGGAGGAATGGACGGGTTGCACATTCCTGACATATGGCATAAAACTTCCCATCAGAGGAGCGGGGAGGGTTTGGAAAATAATCCCCCATTTTCCAAGTTGAAATGTATGCAATTTAGGCTGTGAAGTGGAAAAGGGATTCTCTCTTAAAGCACGTGCTTTCGCTTTTTCGTGGGCGTGGCAACGGTAAATGATGAAATTGATCTACGGGAATTTGCTTTCCATTTATTTACCATAATAATAATAAAATAAACTAGTAACACAAATCAATCGTGTAACCGGGAAATCAATGAAACTACATTAAATGGATTTGATGCGTGCAAGACCTTTATCAACCAAAGAAACTTATTACTTATTTAAAATAGCATTCATCTGCCCATTGCACCTGTTTGTCCCACTTATCTGGCCGATTAGGTTGAGGTGAGGCACATCCGGCTCTGGATTGGTAGATTATGTGCCAGGCCCTAAACAAATCAAAGCAATTGTTTCAGGATTACACAAGGTGGGGGGAACCTGCACTGGAAGCAGTTATTTTGCAACTAGTCAATGATTGGCCCATAACTTTATCAGTTTTAGTTGCTGTAAAACCATTTTTGGTGGACTAAAGAAAACGATGTATAGGACATGTGCATGTAGTAGATAACTGGTTGTATGGTGCGAAATTGTTGCCAGACATTCCGATGTGATGACACACACACACACACACACACACACACACACACACACACACACACACACACACACACACACACACACACACACACACACACACACACACACACACACACACACACAGTTATTGTCCTCCTGTCCACAGCTCATGGCTACTGGGAGAGATGAGGCCGCATTCGCGTGCTGTTGGATATTTAGCTACTAAGAGCTGAATGACAAACTAAATATATTGCCTCCCAATTCCCATTCTAAATACACGCATGGGTTTTTGTTATAATGCATGAACCACCTCAGTAAATACTGCAATTTAACGATACACATTGCTGAACATATTTGCACAGTTGATCCAATTATTAAAATGAAAAGAAAATGTGAAGTAAACCTAGTTATATGGCTGTAAGTAAGGGTACCAACATGATATGTAGTCTTGCTCTCAGACTCTCATGGTTATTCTGCTAAAATATAAATATGCGTGGTATTCATTGTTTTGCAAAATCACAAACAAATACTGAACAATTATAAGCTATATTAGGTATTTAGCCTATGTATGTCCAACCTATACTTTAACAATTTTTTTTTTTAAGAAAGCCAATTATTTGACCAATGAAGCTAGAGTTGGCAAACTAGTAGCCTACTTGGATCTATCTGACACACCAAAATAACTAAAAACAGTACCGATTTAGTTTGAGCATAGTTTTCCGAGCAGCACCTGAAGGCATCAGAGAAGAGAGAGCGGTTTCCCACCGCAGCACGAGCTGCTGCATCAACTGTCTGTCCGAGAGAGTGAGGCAAACCAGTGCAGTCAGTGTGCACGAAAGTTAGCAGAACATGCGTTGACTGCTCACTTGACTGCGGAGTTTACATGGATGCTAACTGGATTTGACAACATTGCTCGGTAAGTTTATGCAAACAACTCCTCAAACTGTCACGCTAATCAACGTTTAGACACCTTTCAGGGGTTGCGTTGGTCGCGAGTGTGGTTTGTTTGTAAAGTTGCTCACAGTGTCAGCGGTTTCCAAACTTGTGTCGAGTAACCCCGAAAGTCACCCAAAAAACAAGCTTAAAGTACATTTGTTGCATTTACTTGGGTTTGTCCTGTACTCAAAAACTGTAGGTGAAGTGTCGTTTGCTTGACTCCATTTCAGCAGAAAATGACCAACGCTTAAACTCATAGCAGAAACATAATATTACCAAATGGGGTTCAAGCCGGTTATTATACGTTTTTGGGGTCTTTTTGTGTATAAAAGCTTTAAAACTATTATCTGATATTTGTGTTTGTTTTTTTGCTGCGAAGTGCATTGCTTTTTAAGAATGCTAAACCACTGACAGTTTGTTTGTGTTGATTTTTAATGGATAGTAGCCACCATTATTGTCATTTAGGTGTATATTTGCTTAAGAAGCACCTTCATTGTTACGTTTGTTTGTTTTAACAGTTATGTGTCAATTGGTGCATGTTATTTTGCTTTTTGTTTGACAGGTCAGGTTATTGTTTACCTAGACAGACCTCTAGACATCCCTTGGGCACTGTGACCTTTAACCCTTTTGTGTGTGATGTTGCAGTGAAGGTTGCTTTAGATTAAAGAGATCCACATGGAAATGAAATAAAGATACAGCTCAGATGAATCGGATCCAGATCAGAAGAATCACTAACAGGAGGGAATCATGCCTCAGGTCTGACACATGGGCAACTTGTGAAAAAATACCAGTCCATAAGACACACAATAATCATACAATAATACCATATTTACAGTGTCAAGTGTGAGGCCACAAAGACAAAAGACCACCATGCTTACAACCTTAAAATATAGGCTGGAATGGATTAGATAAGTTTGACTTTTATCCAAATTGATAGTATTTGCATTTCCCATGTTTATTTAGCTTCCAGTCACTATTTTTACCTTGAAAAAAGGGCATATTATGTCGTTGGTGAAGAGGTGTGGTGATGTTTTGAAATGAATCTGTAGCAGATAGGGATGGGAGACCGGTTGTACTTGTTCATCCTCACTTCCAGGATCCTCGGTAGGTGCTACTCCTGACTTTGTCTTGATGACATCACCGTCTTTCAAGTGTCTTGTAATGTAGAGGAGTGTTAATTGTGGCCATAATTGACCTTTGACCTTCAAACATGTAGCAATTGTGGAATAGGACTACATGTTTCTCAAGTTACATGCTGCACTTTGTTTAAAAATGAAAGGTTTGGTTTAAGAGATATTCTCAATGCATTTCAATGTCAAATGTTAAGAATAATTTAAATACTGCATTGGATGGAATATGTACTGTAGTGTGTTGTAATTGCACATGCATGTGGGCACCTGCCTACCAACAAAACTAGGATCAACTCATAAAAACATTGCTCCATAGAACTACTCGCTGGTGGTCAAAACTTTAGGCTTTCTGGGAATGAAGTGACTAAAAAGAATGAATACTTATTATAAGCCTTGATTGTGGTTAGGCTAAGGCTTATATTCTGTGATTGCCAAAGGATTACATAAGTCTATTTGATTTTTAGCAAACCAGCAACAAGTATGTTGCACATCAAAACATGTTCAACTGATGGCCAAGGTTCACAATGAAAGTTTGCACCAGCGTCTTATACACAAGGCTCACCATTATTTCTACTGTCATGGTTCACTTTTGTTACGCCTCTTTCTGTTGTGATAGACCCACATTCACAAATACTGGCACTAATTCACACAGCTCAGATTTCTTTTTTCTTTTGAGCCATCTTTCAAGTGCAAATACACACCATTCACACTGTCAACGTCCAGCGTGAAGATACAGTCACCCCTTTTTGAGTCAGCCCTCTCCCTCTGTTGTTACACTAACAGATACTCACACCATAGAGCCCCTCTCTCCCTCTGTTTCTCCCTCTGCACTTTCCATTGGCGTCGCTCTCTGCCCTGCCCTCTAATCAAAGCCATATGTTCTCCAGGTCCCTCGCATGAAAAGTCTGTTCTGTTAGCAGCGTAACCAGGCTCTCACTTTGTTTCTGTCAGAGGTAGAATGTGTTGAAAATAAAAAGTAACCTGCAACAGATTGCATGCTGATCTTGCATCCTTTTAACTATCTTCTCTTAACTGTTTTGTCTCAGGAGCGATTGAAGTTGGAAATGGGAAGGCGGATACTTTATTTTGCTTAAATCCATCCATCCGTGTTGTTGTTTCATTATTTATGAGCTCTCCCAGTGGCTGGTTTGATAATATCTCCACGAATAGCCTTGATCTTCCTTGACACATCAGTGTTTCAGATGTTCAGGGTTTGTAGGTACATATCGCCTCTTCAGATCATTCTTTATTATAAAAAAAAAAAAAAAACATGCTGCCCAGGAGGTCTAAATAGGGATGCTATTTTTATGACTCATTTTGGGTCATTGATGTTAAAAAATCAATCTTCAAGTAAAACAAAAAATCTCTTGGAATTTTACAGGCCAGCAGATGGAAAGCAGTTTTCCCTGGGTTTGGTTCGACACTGGGTTTGGATCAATTTGAGCTCTTTGAATCGAGATGCACATGACTTCAGTTTTTATGAGTAGTTTTTCCCTTTATGTTTCTAAGCACATGAAGGTTTTCCTTACTTCCAAGCTGCACTATTTATTTATTTAATCTTTTATCTGAACAGGGACAGTGCACATTGATGAACACTTTAAACAAATAATGCTTCAAATGTAAATATGCCGGATTTTAGCTTTGAGCTAATTTCCATCCGTAGTCCCTCACATACAACATTTAAGAACATGACATTTGTAAACATAGCAAAAATAAATACATGATATGCCGAAAGAGCATGAGCTGCATATACAAGCATTAACCACATGGCAGTACAATATAGCAGCTATGACATATAAAGTGCAAGAGATGATACAAGAGCTACCTAAAGTGCAAGAGAGGATACCCCTGTGTTAAAGTGCATTTAAAACTATTGAGAGTGGGACAATCCTGTATCTCAGTTGGGAGGCTGTTCCAGAATGAGCTGCCTTTAATGGAGAGGACATTTTGTCCAAAAGTGGTCCGTCTTCGGTGGACTTCACAGTCTCCTCTGGTTTCTGACCTAGTGCAGCGTCCAGTGTCTTTTTTGTGTATGAATTCCCCTAAGGGAGGGCGGGGCCAGTCCATGTAAACATTTATAAAAAAAACCACATACTTTTAAAAGACTTAATCTGATCTCTCCTATCTGGGTCTTTGCACTGCATTCTAACATTTGTCAGTTCCTTTAAACTAGGACTAGTTTAAGGAATGTGATTCTATTGTAGTCATATGATGCGTCTGTTCTTCTCTGACCCCCTGTGTTAAAGAGAGGGGGGTCCTTTGCATAACAGAAGTGTTGGTATACTGAAGATTCAAAGAGAACTGTGCAGGATCTTCTTACTGGATTGTGGAGATTACTAGACCATGTTTTGTATCTAATATTCATATTCAAATTAATATTCTTCTTTAGTATTTACAAAACTCTAAATAATCCATTATTGTGCACTGTGATTTGGATAACTAACACAGAGCAGGGTGCATCATTGTAAAAATAATTCTTCTCAACTGGATACAATTGTCTATTTTAGTAGCTACTTCACTTTATTCCAGCTATATTATATAGTTGGTACATCATTTTTGTAAAGAGTGAAATATGTTGTCATTTACATTTTTTCAATAGCCAATCCAGTTAAACAAAGCTGACTTTTTTTAATTAAATAAGCACTTTTGAATAGGCATTTGCATTCATCACAGTCCTTATAACATCCAAGATCATAGCACTGAAGCATAGCAATGAACTTTTGGCAAAGTTAAGACGGATAGCAATACCAAGAAGTGCATCCCTAGTTGAGTTACGTTCTCTAACATTTGTAATAATATTCTTTCTACTGGATATGTTTTCCCTTATTTTTCCTTTTTGTGAGTCTTGTTACTTGACTCACTTCCTTGAGTTTCTCCCTTTTTAAACGGAATTCAAATTAGTTGTTTTTTGGCACTATCTTTACAGTAAAAGGAGTAACCGTTTGGCATCACCAAAGCATTTGTGCCTGAAAAAGAGAGTCTAATTGAAATCTGTGTTTTCTCTGCGTGACTGTTTCTCTGCAGTTGGGTGACATCATTTGGAGCGTCACTCTTTTGTACTCGCATGGCATGCTTTTTCTGCCCTTAACAACAGAAAAGGGGATTCCTTGTCTCCCTGACCTGCTTATTATGCTGCTGGAATGCTAAAGATCTAATGCTGAATCTTAGTGCAAAGTATTTAGTGGGGTTTTTTGGAGGCTCAGGAGATTAAGTGGCATTTCAGCTCAGTTTGAAACCACCTCTTATTTCTCCCTTTTACATTTTCCGTGCCATTTACTGGCTCTTATATTCTATATCCACTGACTGTATAGTACCAATGGAAGCTTAAAAAGTAATAAAGCATGAAGGTTGTTACCAGTAATTCATTGTGCTGCTTTCTCACTGATTGTGCTTTACTTACTGCAATCCATCTGAAATGGGACATAATCACATACCAGGCCATGAGTCATTGTTTGGATGAGTCGTGAAATAATCCCTCATGAATGAACTTGGGTAAAAAGGCTTTTATGTGAGCATGAGGGCCTCCTGTTGAGGGGACAAACAATCATTCGGGATGGGTTCCAAAACAGTTCTGGGCACAAACTCATCAAAACAAATTGTTACTTATTTTAATTGACTAGCCATGAATGAGAGGTTGTGACATAAGGGACTTCAGTCTTTAAATCTGTAATTGGTTGTTTTGTTCACTATGGTCGGCTTTCAATCTTTATCTTTTACATTAACATTCCTAGATCAGCGGTTGCGTTACTGTAAAGAAACATGTCTTGCATTCTGCATGTCGCTGATGTATTTCGGAGACAACATATTCTTGAATTTTATACCAGCAGATTTGCCAGTTATTGTTGTCCGA